TCACCTAAGGAGCCGCCTAACCAAAGTGATTGTCCGGAAGCTCCACTCCCTCCTTACCCCCGACCTTCTCTCACTTACTCTCTCAATCTTTAGTCATTACTACTACCTTCTATTCTGTGCATACCACATCCCCATGCCGTCACCATCACCTGACCACCTACTTGCCACTAGAACTCCTCTTTCCTTTCGGCCGGGGTTGTAACTTGGTTGATGTCAGTGTCAGGGTCTGCTGCCCTGATCCATTAGGCGTGACCGGAATGTGGCGCGAGAGTGGGAGGTCAACAGCCAACTCTCCTGAAGTTTTTGATCGCAAAATTGAAGAAGACTCATCTCCCTCTTCCATCTGTCGTAGCATCGAGGGATCCCTGGAGCCCACCGCTGCAGGAAACTGGACTAACTGGCACACCGCCGTCAACGTCCTGGAACTGAACTGAACTGACTTTGAGTTAATCTGCTAAACGGTTATTTCACTCGCCTCAAGGTCGTGCTTCTTTGATTCAGGACGCCACCCGTAATTACTCGTGTCACTCATCGATGGGTTCTCGCCTGAGTGAAGTATCGTTCCTGATATTCTGTTCTTTGGGAGTGTTTTTTTCTTATTTGGTATATGGCATACTTCAAGAAGCAGTGTAAGTAAATAATTCATTCCTATTATCTTATTTTTATAGGACGAAGTCCAATTATGGTCAAGGGGAAAAATTCAATTACTTTTTCTCATTGCTGCTATTTCAGTGCATTGTGAATTCATTATTTTCATTACTAGGTGAGATATTCAACCGTATTGAATTTATTTGTAGCTCTTTTTATAAAAAGAGAAAAGAAAACGACTGCCCCGGAATGGAACTTCGCTTTATGTGGTCTTACCTACATCGGTGCTATGTTTGCAAGCAACTATAGTTTGAAGTTTGTATCATATCCAGTGCAGGTAAATATAATTACTTCATGAGTGTTATAGTGGTGAATATGGAAAGGTCATTGGCAAATCTGTCAAACCCATCCCGGTTTTACTTCTTCATGTTCTATTGGCCAAGCGCAAGTACCCCCTAAGAAAATACGTTTTTGTCACTATGATTTCTGTCGGTGTTGCTCTATTTATGTATAAAGGAAGATCATCCGCAAACAACTTCTTGGGGTGGGGAGAGGCCCTACTTGTAAGTTCGCTCTTATGCGACTGTATGATCTCAATTTTAGATGATTTCTCTAATGCTCGATGGTTTCACTGGTGGAATACAAGAGTGTCTCAGGAAGTTTGAAGTCGGGTCGTACACACTGATGCTCCACATGAACTTATGGTCGACGCTGTATCTTTTTATAGGTAATAATTATCGATATTTTCCGCTCGAATTAAAATATTTCCCAGTGACGTTTAAGCGCTCAAATTGAGTCTCCTGGATGATGATGTGTATTGCAATTGCTTTACTGTTGGCAGTTAGTTCCTCACATTTGCTGCTGCGCTTCCAAACGTTTGGTCAACCAACTCGTTTAAAGTATTCCTTAGTTGCCGTTGCCCGAATAGCATCTGCTGTATGTAGATTGGGCCCGCAGCTTAGCTCATCTCAGTTCTCACAGGACGAAGTTTGGCTCTTGATAGTCATGTGCCCAGTTTTCTGTGTTTTCGGAGATTTCGTTGGCTTCCAACATTTCGAGTCAATAATTTTTTTTGAAAGGTAGTGTTGTTGTGCAGTATCAGATCCCTTTTGAGGTTCTGGAAAACCAACCTCACGGTTGGATTCAGCATTCAACTTTAGGTAATGCTGCTGAAAACTCTTCTAGTTTTCTTCTGAGGGATTCAGCTCGCATACAGCTAACCACTGCTTCAGATAATTTATCCCACTGTAGTATAATCTTCAAGAAGAACAGTTCGTAGATTTATTTTTAAATGACTTCTTTCCACTCTAAGATGATGTCCCCTTGTGGCCCCGGAAGGAAAAAGCGACGGAAGGTCTTCAAACTCTATACCATAAAGCTCTTTGACAACCTTAAAAGCCTATATAAGATCGCACCGCATTCGTCTGCGTGCCATGGAGGATAAATCCAGGGCACTCAGTCGTTAGAGGCATCCATTACCTTTCTAGTCTACTGCCATTCTGGTTGCTTAGCGCTGTATTTTCTCGATGCACCGTTATTTCTGCTTTAAATGAGGTACTCATGTTTGTACGCAATATTCTAAATGAGAACGTAGAACCACAGATATATATGATACTAAGATTAGTAGGGAACTGTCCTCTGATCAACTTTCTTTCAAAAAATAATTTAATTCTGCCGGAAGAAGCGAACCTTGCAGTTTCTTCATCAACGGTCTACGAAAAACTGTTGCTCCCAGTAAATGATGCGTCTGGGGTAACGTAGAAACCCGGTGGATCTTCGGTCCATAAAAATCGGAACATCAAGCATTATCACGCCTATTTTGTAATAGCTTATAACTATGATGTAGGTCGCCATGGTTGGATTAGACCCCACCAGGAACTACTACTGTAAAGAATTGCATTGCAGCAGGGACACAAATCGTCCATCATCTAGAAACACACTGCAGTCTGCTTCATTGACCTTCACGCAGTCTTGCATTTGGTAAGCCGAACCCTTTTGTTCAGTACTTGAAGCTGATTAAATGACAGATGAGCTTTCGAATTTGTTGACTGTTTACAAAGTCAAGTCCCGTTGCGGAATGGTCCGAATTTCTGCTTAAAATTGATAAAAAACCTACCCCGCCTTTACTCTTGTTCAAATAAAATGTGGATAATAAGGGAAAGTTTCAGTTTTTATAACCATTACCATACACTTTCGTGCACCAGTTTTGGCTGCTGTCTTTTGGGCGCTAATTCGGGTAAAGGAGCAGAATGAAAGTCTCATTCCAGGCATATATGTCTTCTATTCGAGTTTCACGGATGTGCCATCTGATCCCGTTTGCACCCAAAAGAGAATTCGTGCGAGGCACTCTCTGCTGGGACTGGAATGAGATTCAAATAATACTCTGTATGGAAGTCCAAAAGCCCATTTGATTACCGAAGGCGTATACAGCTTACGCACGCTTTCTCTAATTCCTATAGGATTTTCTTACACAAACTGAGATTGAAACATCAATACAGTATTTCACAACTAAAATTTATAGAAACAGAAGACGTCTCTTACTCAACCGGTACTGAATAAATATCCGTGACATAAGCAAAATAAAATAAAGACCAGTGTAAAAGTAAAAAAGATTTTAATTACGACAAACGTACGAAATTTTATAATCAACTGATGTGCTCACTTTCTGGGTTCACGCCTATGTAATTTTTCCGTTTGTATTCAGATACTCATTCTTTCATGAATTTTGATTTATATTTGGCTTCAGTTTCAGTTTGAACAACCATAAACCATGCACCTTCGTGCACCGGTTTTGGTTGCTGTCTTTTGGCTACCCGTTTGGATGAATAATAGGCGAAGACAGGAAAGTTGAAGGTAGAGTCGAACAGATAATGGAGAAGTTCAGTGGTCTAGTATTGCAAATAGATTGAGAAGATGCACGAACGCCACTGTTTGCGACACAGCCATATCACTCAGTGTCTCTAACCATCGGGTACGAGCATCCCGGAGTCCTAGCCAGGGAGCCAAACGGGACCTATGTGACCCAGACTCCTGGTCAGGGTTTTCATACCCTTGTGCCAGGTCTTAGCTTGGCCACCCTTGACTTTCTTCCACCCACTACTTGCCTCAGCGAACATCGCTCGCCGTGACAACCTATCTGGTGACATGCGTAACACATGCCCCAACCAACGTAATCTATAGAGGTCAACCACTTGCTCCAGTGGGCGACCGCGATTACCTAAAACTTTTCGCCTGACCTCAGCATTACCCGTCCGGCTACCCAACCAGATTCGTGCAATGCTGCGTAAACAGCGATGTTCAAACACTGACAGAGATACAGAGTATAGGGAAAAGACCTAACTGTCAGGTCCAATGACTATCAGTCTACGACAACATTTGTCTATACAACATCATCTCCGTATAGTGGGAGCATCAGATGAGAAACGATGAGGTCAGACTCTAGTCTTATTTTGATAGGAATCATTTCACTGCACCGTCTGAGGTAGCTAGAGCACGTCCTACGAATACCTGAATAAGGTCTGCCTAATCGTGCGCTATTTGCAGACATCAGGTGGAAGTTGGCTAGCTATAAAGTGTCGGATTGAAGATATTTGTTTTCGAATCTGGCTTCCATCAGGTCTTCCGGATTATTGCCCTGAAGATGCAAGTGGTTTTTGTTTGGAAACTCCAGGATGCGGCATCTGACGGAACTCAGTGGCGCGGATGCACACTTTTCTGTCTAAAATCACAGACGTTTTACGAAAAAGGTCAAAATTGCGTGCAGTAAACGAAAGGAAAAAGATTTTCCCCTACCCTAGGCTGATCGTCTTGGTGTTGTTTATGTTCTGTTTCTGTATTTCTCTTTCAATCCGTGGTTGTTTTAGTGTCTGAGAATATTGATTTTAAATATAAATATATATCCATAAAACCGCAGTTGGATCCTTATTAGCACGAAACTTGTCACCAGTTGACCTCCATAGAATGTGGCCAGTAACTCCTAAGGAGATAGCTCATTGCTAAGCTAGGTTATTCCTTAAACAAGTGCCCCGGTGATTACATTAGTATTCCGCAGTATAATTTAACCTAAAATAAAATACTACGGCTTAGATTTTCTGACCGTAACTGTCGATGACTAGTCAGAAAACAACAATCCACTTCCATTCTTGTTAGTACTTCAAGCACTTTATTTACTTTGTGATTTTTGCTTTCTCACTTCTGGTAAACTGGCTGAATGTTAATTTTATGGTTTTCAGCTCAATGGGTCACTGGCGAGGGTGCAATTTTCATTGAATTTACGCGAGCGCACCCAGAAATTATTCCAAATATGATTTATTTTGGATTGGCTAGTGCCATTGGACAGGTAAGTCAGGTCGGATCTAATTCTCTCCATTCAAATAACGCACATCTTTTGATTGAATGATGAACCCCTAGCTATCATTTATCTCTTGATTCCATGAACATGTAGCGAAAATTTGACTGAAAACTTCTCTATTTGGGTGTAAAAGCACAATGGAATTACTAAAAAACTAAGAGTCTAGAATCTGACCAGAAGAAACGTTAGCTTCTGTACAACCATATTTATTTAGTCCAGTGTACAATTTCTGATTGTTTTCAAATAATGGCTTACGGAATCCAACAGCAGTGATAACACCTTATGCATGCCTTTGCAGTGTGTGGCTAGTTGTAAAGATACTCTGCGAATGGATACCATCTTTTGATATGAATAATAGAAAAGTTTGGCAATTGTTAATGGCTTACGAATTCACCTAGATCCAAACGAATAACGATATTAATAGGTACCCCTGATTAAATCGTCATCTAAATGGTTAGCTTGTTTTGGATTCAACGGTTGGGGAAATTTAGATTTACATGTTAAACTAGGCATATACGAAAATCACACTTAGGGCTCATTATTTTCTATTTCGTTACTTTCAGGGAAGACTGAAAATATACGTATAGTATTAGAGGATTTTTAAAATTAGCCATACAGCAATATGTTTACTAAAAAACGGATTACAAGACAAAAAATCTGCTAGTGACTCTGGCTCAACCTCCATGGGATAATTATTATGACTTCTAATAACAGTTGTTAGGAGAATATACTTCTAGCCACTGTTACTCATAGAGATTAGGCTAGTGTTCATTTAGATTTTTCAAAATAAATAATGTTTTCTTTCCATCAATTACCACGCTGTGTATGAATTGATGAAGTATCAGACGTATAAAAGAAGCCTTGTATGGCGTCTGAATACAGCCGGGGCTTTTGTGATCTGCTTAGGTTCGTTGAATTTCGATACGTGGCAAGAACCGAAAGCGATAGGACAGTGTGGAACACATGATTCCTTCATATCAAGTTGCGGGTAATCGAATATGCTACCATATAATTGGCTGTAGTCTACACTATCGGATGGCACAACCCTCTAGTCATATGGTCCCTCATCGCCTTTGAAATACACTTGTCTGCTGTTTCCATGATTCTTGCCAAATCCACAGGTGAAGGGTTAGGTACACTGACTTCCTGGAAGCGCTGATTTAGTCTTTGGACTGGTGCTTTGAGTGTAGGATATATACGCACTAGTAGCTATTGCCAATATTCTAAGTACGGTTTAAATGTATATAAAAAGCATATGACAATGTGGTTCCTTATGCATTTCTGCGGACATGTGCTTCTTTTCCAGTGTAGCAAAAATTAATATGCAAACAGAAACTCGGCTGTGGCATTGACTAAAAGCGTCCGGGCAGTTATTTACGCGTGAAACCTGAATAAACTCGATTTCTTTATCGATTATGTCGGCCTTACATAATTATAGCTCTGC